AAACAGGATTGCCCATAGAACCTTTGCATAAATGTTCATATGCTTAACACAGAACACCACGACTAATATTAAAAATTCTTAGAAAAAATTCCAGCCTAAATATAAAAGATACTATAACATACCAGTGATCGATTGACGGCTCGTATGCAATCATTTGTCTTGAGCATCAAAAGAATAACACGAGGGAGTCTCCTGAGAAGCTCAGAAATTTGAGGGAAGTATTGGGAGGCGTACATCTGTGAGGGGGAAAAAAAAGGAGAAAAAACAAAAAGCGAGACAGTTCATCAGTAACTTCGGGGATACAGTTTGTTGAAGAAAATTTTTAAAGACCCCCGATAATTGATTATATTTCACAAAAACACACCTTACTATACTATGGGATATTAATTAAGAATATATAAGCCTCAAAGTGGGTATTCATCTTTCCAAAAGAAATTTATGCTTTTTATATTTTTTCGTTTGAACCAAAAGGGTAGTTTTTGTAAAATAGTTTAAAGATAACAAGGGATGAGCAGAGTATCTAACAAGATATCTAATTGATAAAAATTAAAATTAAGTTCCATTTGCTTACCTGGAGTTCAGCACGCTCACTATCAGAGCCCCGAACTACTAGATGATCCATAGCAGGATCAATAATTTTTGCCCAAGGCTTCATTGTAAGAATAGCAGCAAATAATGCATAAAGATCCTCCCCAGCACCTAATTTCACACTATTTTCCTTAATTGCATTGGCATCAGAAAATATTAAACCCTGTCATATAAGCAAAGTTGTCACACCAGCAAATGAGATTTCATTGGGAGATAAAATGATTTACCAATGTGAGACACAATCATCCACTGATAATATAATAATGCTGAAAAATATGCACCTTCCAAAGGGTAGCATAGTTAATCCGCGTGGAGATGTCGAGTTCCTTGTATAAACCATGGTCCAACAATACCAGCTGCGGTTTTTTCTTTCCTGAGTAACCAAAATCCAAAACGAGCATCAAGTTATGGTAATAAAACAGCTGTTCAACAGGAACAAGGAGCTACTTTCAATAAAGGTAAACATAAAGCACATGAATGGAATAGTTGGATATGCCAATGAATGAAATTTATAAAGATTCTTCAGAAAATACATTTATGTAATTGTAAAAGAATGGCATCAGCAGTCTTTTCCTATTTGTCCCCTATATGGTTAAGGAAATTTCCGATAACATAAATCTTGTTTATCAACACACACAAACTGTTTTTCCGAATCAATTGACTGAAATGTAACACCCACACTGAGACAGTAGTACTAAACTTATCAGGATATTGCTAAAATGTGCATAATATGCGAAAAAGTCAGTCGCTTGTTGCTTAGAGGCCGAGGGAGGGATGGCAAGAGTAAAGTGAACGATTATAATGAAAACGTTGAATTCCTCTCACCCAAAATACTCCAACCGCCAGAAGGCAATGGACGAACAAGCACATTTGCAGCATGTGGATCACAGTGTACAAAACCATGTTTGAACATCATTTCTGCAAAAGCTTGACTCAACTGTAAAGAATAAGACAACATCTTCTAAAAGTTACGACTGAAAACAAAAAAGTATACAATACGATATAGCAACAGACGATATTCCAGGCCGACAAATGAAGAAATTCATACAGGCCTGTCATCTATGTACCAATTATATCATATCAGGTGCTATAGTAGCGCTACAACTACTCCATAGGTGCAATACAGAAAACTGAATTTCATAATGGAAGTGCAAAAGCTTACCAATTTGGAAACATCACTTGGATGAATTCCTAACTTCTGTATGGTCCTCAAATCATTTACTTGAGCCCCATCAATAAATTCCATCACCAACAACTTTGATGTGCTTAAGTTCCAATGTATTTTTGGTGCATAAACATACTCAGCAATGTGTGGAGAGAGTTTTCTGAAATTGGCCATGCATTTTACGCTGTTTTTGGCCTCAATCGAGAAATCTAACTCCTGTCAAAATCACTAGAACTTATCAAAGTAGTGTTTATAAATGTGGTTAAAATGAAACCTCAGAGAACTTTCAAGTAAGAGATCTAACTACCAACCACACCATAACAAAACTTCTTTTCTAAAGAAATTGGACCACTTAAATGTCCTAGAAACCAGAGGAGAAAAACAGTGGGGAAAATAATAAGACCAACATAGTATCGAGAGCATATCACTGCATCATACTCACAGCTACCGAACTATCATATTTAAAGCTTGGAAGCTCGATTTTGAAATGAAATGTCTCCATGCCAACGTATACGCATGAAAAGGATGATAAAAGGTTAACAGAATCAAAAGTTGTTAATAAAACTCAAAAAGACGAGAGATCTCTGAAAATGAAGCAGACAAGAAAATCTTCAACTGTTTCAAATTCAAGTATATGACAGATACTCGACTTGTGATAAATCCTTTACTTTCAACTGATAGAATAGATATTTCCAGGGATGCAAGCACAGATAGGATGTTTATCTCGAAATGGTTAACTACATGTATATGGGGTTTGAAATTAAGGCAGGGTGCAAGGGTACAATGAAGCAGGAAATATTGTTGAACTGACTGGACCTAGACCGACAACCAAAAGCAAACTTGGGATAGATAAAAGGTGTTGGTATATTGAGGGTCTAGCCATTGGAACTGTTCAAATTTATGCATTTATAAAAATCTTGACCACTGGGAAGTAATGATATAGCTTGTAGCCCATTTGGGTTAACATTTGGAACAAGCACATAGATGTTATATTAACCTTAAGTACAAAATACAATTCTGGAGCTTGACTAGAGCAAATAGCATGAAGTGCCGAAAGGTGAAAAGCGAGAAGAACCAACAACGACAAAACACATGGAAAAGCTACTGCAGTTCAGCCACAAACCTTTGGTAAACTTTCCCGCATTTCATCTACCAACCACCTGCACAGGATAAACAGATAAAAATCATTTTTTTCTTTTCTGCTTTTCTTTGTGTGTGTGTGTTTGTTCTAAGTAAATGTTAAATAAAAGAGCAAATGTGTTGAACAAAACAAATTTCGAGTTAAGACACGATTGATTTGTTTTCAACCTGTAATCAAAAGAAGGAAAGAGCCAATGCAAAGTATTCACAATTAACTCCACAGTTGCATAATCTGCAGCTGCAGTATCCGTCATGTGTGTATGCTGAACCTAAACAAAATAACCTAATGGGTAAAATTGGGGAAAGAAAAATAAAGGAGAAAAGAAGAATGATAAAAGAACTATAATATCAATGCCACAAGCACAAAAAGTTTCAAATTTTGACACCTTCACAGCAACTTTTTGTCCATCGCGAGTTCGAGCGACATGAACCTGCGCCAAAGAAGCACTTGCCATGGGGACAGGATCAAATTCATGGAATATCTGCCAAGATCGAAACCTAAATGAGCACTCCAAAAGATTAGATGGCTTGATTAACAAAACTAATGATTATCCACATCATTAATATACTAAATTTCTAGCTGACCCTCAGTTGCTCAACATATCCATATTAGTTGCAAGTACAACTTGATTAAAATATTGCACATACTTCATGAGGTTCCCCACCAAGCTCTTTCTTGACAACTTCACACACTTGGTCGTATGAAGAAACCGGACATCTGTTCAGCATCGACTGACCCATTATCTGGACATATTCTTCTGGCACCAAGTATTCCTGAAAAAGACAATTACTAAGTTCTCACACTATATATTTACCCCTGGGAAGAGAGCATGATGAGAACCCATACCAGCTGACTAATATGTTGACCCAGCTTAATGTAGATTCCGCCATTTTTAAAGCAAAGCTCCCGAAGTCTAATAGCGCCCCTGGTGTGAACTTCACGCTTAGTTCTTTCTCTTTCAGTGCTACCCTCAGGCAATCCCCACAGAGAGTATTCGTAATCTT